CAGGAGTCTGTTCTCACATTTTAAGCTAATCATCCATTATCTCTTTGCTAATTTCTTTGACATACACTGGCTATAAGGATGAAGAAAGCACTTGTATTTAACTTAAAGTCAAAGATTTGAGTTCTCATTGTGGCAAAACATGGTGTTTGACAGGTCTTTGATTGCAGAATTGTTGCCAACAGCTTCACAGTGGAGCCTTGACTGGACTTTGACTTTGGTTCAGATTTGGATGGTGACGGTAATCAATTAAAGAAAGCAAAAGAAACAAAACAACTTTTTTGTATGATTTTTTTCCCACCTTATCCCACCTCATCATCTACCTTAGGTATTTTAAACGCTGGTAAAAACTGAATAATCAACTTGATAAAACCATGAAATGGCTTTGTTGCATTTTGTATTTGCCATGTTCTCATGATTAACAATAACAGTGAATGTTGCACACAAAGCACTACAGAATAAACTGGATTTACTTGATTGTTTTGTTTTTTTTCAGTGTTGTCAATTAAAAAATATAGCAAATAGGATGTGTAAAAGTTGTTTTGTGTCAACTATACTGGGTTTACTCATGGCTAAATGAGTTAAAATTCTGCAGTGCTTGAAGAACAACAAGGTAAAACAAACTAACAAAGAGTTAAATAGTTTTCAGTTTCCCTTGTGAGAAAAGTCAAGCTGAGATGATACTTTGTTGCTGCCATGCTTTAATGGGTTTTAAATAAATCTTTATGCTATTTTCCTTTAAATGGTTTGATGCAGGGGGACAAAGAAGCAGTGTGAAATTTAAAGGTTAGAATCTTTTTGTACATAAATACAAATGGGAAGTAACATAGATAATGCAAATTAATAATTATTGTGATATTACTGTGACAACTCCATTATCTTATAACTTTATCTAGTGCATTGCTACTAAAAATAAATCCCAACTGGCAAATTTACCCTAGTCCCGTGCCATCATTGTCGGATTACACTACCTGCATGTTATTTTAAGGAACATCTACCCTTTCATAATAGGATTTAGGATTAATTTACTTACTGTTTGACCAACAGTAGCAGCTACCACTGCTGCAAAACACAAAGCTCACACACAGCCTAGGAATTAGTTTTTGTGTTTTTCTTTTAAATAATGTGATATTTTAATGTTTCATAAAACACCACTACAAACCTCCTTAAACCCAAAAAAAATTCAAAAAAAAAAACCCATTTACAGCTTTACAGTTTCTTATTTTGGTTTATGTGAGTTTCAAGACTTGCATAAAGGATGCAATTCATGCCCGTTTCAGGAATCAGAAATGTACTGGTTCAGTGTAGCACTTTTTTCCCCCCTGAAACAACAGCTACCAAAAAAAGAAGGGAAAAAAAATCACTCCACTTCCGGAAGTTAGCACCAGCTGAAATCCTAATTTCAGCTTGCAGTGAGATTTTGGCTGTGTCCCACATCTGAGCTTTGTTAGCAAATAAGGTAACTAATGTGCGTTAGCGCTTGCATAAATAGACTTTTTTTTTATTTGTTAAACTAATTGGCAACAGTTTTTGATTACACTTAAATTGTTCACTCCCCAGTTTCTACACGCTCAATTTGCAACTTTTTCTTAATTGGGAAGTGAACTGAATGGATTGGGCTCGGAAGTATTTGCATATTTGGTTTTGCAGATTTTAACCTGGTTGTGTCTTTTCTAGGATCGAACCGTGGGTGTTAAACCAGGAAGCCCCTTTAGGATGCCTTTAAGGTGGTATAGCCTCTGTGCTAAACACTGTGGCGACCCTTTGTAAAGCTTGAAAGTGTTGTACTGCTGCATGAACAAGTAATGATTAACTGCATCACTTAATTACTTAAAATCACGTAGTACCACCCCACCGACACCCACCCACCCAGATCACTCGTGCAGTATCAGTGAAATGTAACTTTCTAGCTATGCATCGTCTGTGCTGTTTGAATCAGCACTGTAGTAAACAGAACCTGTTCTCTTTTCCAATAAATACATTAATAATAATTAAGAAGAAGAACGACAATAATAATAACAATAATAAAGTTAACTGAAAAAATATGTGAAGCGCTATCTTTTTAGTCAACACTTTTTACAGGATATTTCCTAAATGCTCACCCAAAGCCTGACGCCTAAAACATAAAAACATAAAGAATACTTTAAAACATATATACATGGAGGAATAACATTAAATGTTTGAATTACTTCCAGTAACGAGCCGTCCTGGCAGCATACGTCTGACAGACAGAGACAGCAATGGTTTACATTTGTTTGTTTTAAAAAAAAAAAAAAAAATGAAAACGAGGACTCGCGGGGCTTAAGGAGAATGTGGCTTCTGATTGGCTAGAAGCTTAAGGGACAAAGTCCCTCTTCCAGGTGTCTCTGAGTTGCGCGCTCACCTTTACTTCAGTTGCACGCCGAGCAGGATATGAGAGACGACCGTGCACGGACAGGTACGCCTATATTTACTTAAAAACCTAAAGCTCTGTTGTAAATAGGGTAAGGAACAGTTAGCATGTTTTTCATTTATTGGATGCTATTTAAATAATTTACTGCTCGTGGCAGTTATTTTATGTTTTGTTTTGTTTGTCAAACTTAACCAGTATTTAAACACTTTTCGGTGAAGGGGTTTTATGGCGGTTTGGGGCTAATAATGTTAGTTACAAAAGACAGGCTTGGATTCAGTAAGTAATGTGAAGGAAGTGGGTTGAAGCCTGGGTACAGTGGAGAAAATGATAATAAACCCTATTACACAACATCCTACACAGAATTCATCGAAGGTAATAAAAACTTAGCCAGATGCTCTTTTACAGCCACAATGAAAACAACAGTAACGCTGTCATTGCACCACATTTTCCAAAGAATCTGACACAGCAGTTTATTGCTTTGACTTGTGCATCATAGTCTTGTGATAGCTAAACTCGCCCAGTTTTTGTTTTTGCCTACTGTGTTGATAGGATAGGTGTAACTCACTTAAAGAGATAACACATTGTTAAATGTTCTTCGGGTTCATATCACATCATACAGTCTGATTTGTTTTGTTTTTTTCAGAGTAAGGGTTATAGCAGAGTGACTGGGACCTAATAAGCAGATAAAAACGACAAATGTGAAAAGGTTTTTCAAGCCGGTCAAAAATCACAATAAACGTTAACACTGAGCTTACATTGTTCAGATTCATATCCTGACCTGGGACTTTGCCTACTGATCTGGCCATAGGGATTTTTACAATTTTAAAGGGATGGCATGGCATGGCAAAGCACGAACAGTGGACAGGAGCGCTTTTGTGCCTCCACTGCCCTATTTGGCAGACCTTGCGTCTCAGGTGTTGACACTTATCCAAAAGTGAATTTCTTTTCACCAGGTCCAGACAGGACTTCCTTTATTCTCAAATTGCAGCTACGCTACAATACCCATATAAACGAAACGTTGAACAAAATTTCCAAATACAAAGCTGAAACTGCCTTTTTAAAACAGGTGTCATATAGCCTTCAGGAGACTGATTGCTTCTGCCTTCCACTCCCTC